TTGTGTCTCAGATTGGCAGGTCTGGGAAATCTTGGGTTACATTTATAGGTCTTTAAAAACGGAATTGTTTTCACCCTTGACTCTAAAATAATTTACTTTCTTTAGCCTTTGCTTATAAGGAGGTATGGCTCTCTTTAAAGGGCTCTTAAAAATGTTTCCTGCTATGACTCCTCTGGGCCATTCTACTATGAATTGGCACAAACACTAACAGCTTAAACCCTTCTGGGCAACACTACAGAAGAAAATAAATCCTAGAGTGTCATAATTGGCCACAAGCTGAACATGAGTAAGCAGCAGAAATACTGATTTGTAAGAAAAAGCAGATTTGTGGCAAGTGTGAAGTGTGAAAAGGGAATTAGCCCCCCCCCTGCCTCAGTGGGGTAAGGCAGAGTAACTTCCCTACAAGCTGTGCTCCAAGGGTTTATTTATAGGTCACTTCTTAGGAACTTGGAATTCTTTCCTTCGCAGAATCATTGTTACAAATACAGGCAAGTTCTGGAGCTGGTCTAGAAATGTGTGCGTGTGGCTCCCATCCTCGTGTTTACACTGAAACAATTGGAGAGAGCAACAGACCTGTGTCATATCAGGAAATGCCCCATCAGACACTTTACAAGTTATGACACTGTGCAAGAAGCACAGCTTCTTTCAAAGTTCAGGTTGTAGTATTTGGCACACCTCTGCCTCTTCTTACCCCCACCCCTACTGATCCTTCTAGAAGGCTTTCAGCTCTTCACTCAAATCATTTGTGCACAGCAGGGCACCTCTCCCAGGCCCCAGTCTCTGACTCCTGTCCCGACTCCTCGCCTGTCTCTCTGACTCCCAGTGTGAATACTCCTTCACGCACTTGCCTAAAGTCTGACAACGACAATATGACGGAAGTCAGTCCTATCTCTACAATCTACCTCCCTCTAGACTGTACCTCCGTCTTTCCATCTTTCCGCTGCCTTCCATCGCCATTACCCGCACCGTGGTCATTATTTCTTGTGGAGATAAGGGCGATAGCCTGGATGGCTTCTTTCCTCCCCACTCCCTCCCCTGCTCCAATCCCTAGTTCTATTTTCCACACAGTGGCCAGAGGGACCTTTGACCATTTTTATCAGTTTATGTCGCCTCCCAGCAGGTAGTATGAAATCCAGCTCTTACCCTGACCTTGCCAGGCCTGGGGGTGTCTCCCTGCCTCCAGGCTCCTCCCTGGTGCTGGGCTTTTGCTCTTGACTACCCTTTAGTCTGGACCACTTTTCCTCCGTGCTGCCCTGCTGCCTCTTCTCATGTGGCTGGTGTCTATTTTTATTTTTATGTTTTTTTATTTTAAAGTTTGTTTGTTTATTGAGACAGGGACAGCACAAATTGGGGAGGGGGAGAGAGAGAGGGAAAGGAAGAGAGAGAGAGAGAGAGAGAGAGAGAGAGAGAGAGAGAGAATCCCAAGCAGGCTCCATGCTGCCAGCACAGAGCCCAACGAGGGGCTTGAACTCATGAAACCATGAGATCATGACCTGAGCCAAAACCAAGAGCCAGATGCTTAAATGACTGAGCCACCCAGGTGCCCCTAGCAGGTGTCAGTTTAAATATTAGCCTCCTCCTCAGAGAAATCTTCCTTGATCTTCCTTTCTTAAGGGCCATCTTCTGTGCTCTTTTACAAAGATCCTGTTTCTTTCCTTCGAAGAATGCAGTCACAATCTACGGTGCTCTTGTGTGTTCACTGTGTCCTTGTGTGTTCGGCATCTCCTCCACCAGAATGGAATTTTAAAAGCCTGGATTGGGGCGCCTGGGTGGCGCAGTCGGTTAAGCGTCCGACTTCAGTCAGGTCACAATCTCGCGGTCCGTGAGTTCGAGCCCCGCGTCAGGCTCTGGGCTGATGGCTCGGAGCCTGGAGCCTGTTTCCGATTCTGTGTCTCCCTCTCTCTCTGCCCCTCCCCCGTTCATGCTCTGTCTCTCTCTGTCCCAAAAATAAAATAAAAACGTTGAAAAAAAAAATTTAAAAGCCTGGCTTTGTGCAGCCTGCTAATCACTGTAGCTGCAGGGCCCAGAACAGTGCCTGATGATGAAGGTGTTCATAAATGTTAGCAGAATGAATGAACGAATCTGAAATGCCTTAGAGAAAGCAAATGAAAATGTGCTTCTGTGACTGGGAAATTTTATGGAGTGGGAAGAGATTTGGGGGGTGGGGAGGGTGGAGGCTGCATAAGCCCACAGAATCCTGCTGATTGAGGACTGGCTCCAAGTTGAGGCCAAGGCAGTTGTGTGAGGCCTTGGTGGTTGGAGGGAACTGATGGGTTGAATGAGAATGAAGCTTAGAAGTCCAGGTGCTGGAGTTAGTATCTGATGGGAGTGGTATAGGGGCTGATGTTTCCAGGAGAGTGGCAGGGAGGTATGGTCACCATTGGTTTAGACCTTGTTGCATCTATGCTTATAATTGCTTATAATAAATCGGGCCATGTCATTTATACAGCAAGCCCCACTTTCCCATCCATATTAAGTACATTGAGAGTAATACAGCTGGGGTGAAAATAATCACAGTTCAATTGGTTTTAAATATGCTAATGCCGGGGCACCTGGGTGACTCAGTTGGTTCAGGGTCTGGACTCTTTGTTTTGGCTCAGGTCATGACCTCATGGTTTCCAATATTGAGCCCTGAGTCAGGCTCTATGCTGGCAGCATGGAGCTTGCTTGAGATTCTCTCTCTCCCTCTCTCTGCCCCTCCCCTGCTCCTGCTCTCTCTTTCTCAAAACAAATAATTAAACATTAAAAAATATTTTTTAATATGCTAATACCTGTGTTGAAAGCCCAGTGAGATGAGCAGATGGGAACACACCTTTGGAGGATGTGAACATGATGTTACAAGGCGGGATGATGAGTGAGCGAAACAGACCCTCAAAAGATCACTAATAGAAGTAGTTATGAAGAGTCCAGTAGGAGGGCACCTGGGTAGCTCAGTCGGTTAAGTGTCCGACTTCGGCTCAGGTCATGATCTCATGGTTGGTGGGTTTGAGCCCAGTATCGGGCTCTGTGCTGACAGCTCAGAGCCTAGAGCCTGCTTCAGATTCTGTCTCCCTCTCTCTCTGCCCCTCCCCTGCTCATGCTCTGTTTCTCTGTCTCTCTCTCAAAAATAAACAAACATTAAGAGTCAAGTGGAGATCTAGGAGAAACGGAATTTGGGACACATGAAGGATTTGGTGGCAAGGACAGAAGACTGTAAGGAGAATGGGATGCAAAAGAGGGAAGTTCTTTCAGATGTTTGTCTTGGGCATAAAGAAGAAACAAGAAATTATTTTTCAGATTGGAATACTGGATTTTTGCTCTCAGGAACCAAGAGTTTCCTACTCGTTGAATAAATGGGTTTGTGGTTTCAGGGGAGCCCCATCCGGGAACAAAGAAGTCTTGCTCGGCTTCATGTTTTAAGTTGGGTTTAAAAAAAATCCATACCACGCTAATATTCAATAATCTTGAGAGCCTGGTTCTTGAGAAGGAAAAGGTTTTCTACTTTTCAAGAAGATTCCCTTTCTGTATCTAGAGCAAGGCTTGGGGGTCTGAGCATAGAGCAATGCGTTAAGCCATCATGCTGAGAATAGAGTCGTTGACACAAAGGAAGTACCTGTCCTGTAGAAATATTCATCTGGTGCCTAGAGGAGCTTAGAGCAAGACTCAGAAGGGATGAGAAGGGGGTGAGGCACTGTGTGCCCTGCCCACCAGCCACAGATGGGGGTAGGGGGGCAAGGTGGTGGAAACAGCTGAGATGGGGTGACAGGAAGTAGAAAGCAGATTTGGATCAGTGGGAGGAGAACCCCTTGTAGGTGTCTATACAGGGTATGCATGGCAGTGGAAATGCTGGCAGATTGTGTTTCAGCAGAGGGAGGGCCCGACACCGTGGCCCTTCCTTGCTTCTTCTCCAGAACTTCCCAGGTGACGCCTGGGGGTGCATAAGTTGGCAGACAATTAAAAGCTAGCATGCCTGTTGAGGGGTGACTGGGTCAGGGGGACCCCTTGGCAGGGTCTCAGAGTAGACAGAGCTGGCGCCAGAGGGAAGGTGAGGCTGAACCCTGGTGGGGCAGGGGTACCAGGGCAGAGGGATGGCCAGACTGCCCAGGAGTACTTGTTAGGCATGGTCTACGTGGAGAGAGCAGGTCGTGAACATCAGAAACCCAGCTGGACAAGGGGTGGGAGAGGATGTGGCTTAGGGGTCAGCACAGGGGAAAGGCACTTAAAGGTTTTCATTCATAACAAGAGCAAAATGAGTCTCCAAAATATTAAGACCTGTGAAATAAGGCCGCCTGGGTGGCTCACTCAATCAAGCATCCAACTTCAGCTCAGGTCATGATCTCACGGTTCGTGGGTTTGAGCCCTGCATCGGGCTCTGCACTGACAGCTTGGAGCCTGCTTCAGATTCAGTGTCTCTCTCTGCCCCTTCCCCGTTTGTGCTCTGTCTCTGTCTCGCAAAAATCAATAAACATTAAAAAAAAAAAGATCTGTGGGGGTGCCTGGGTGGCTCAGTTGGTTAAGCAACTGACTGGCTCAGGTCACGATCTCGCAGTTTGCCATTCGTGGGTTTGAGCCCCGCGTAGGGCTCTGTGCTGACATCTCAGAGCCTGGAGCTGCTTCAGATTCTGTGTCTCCCTCTCTCTCTGCCCCTTCCCTGCTCATGCTCTGTCTCAAAAACAAATAAACACTTAAAAGAAAACAACAACAGGGGCGCCTGGGTGGCGCAGTCGGTTAAGCGTCCGACTTCAGCCAGGTCAGATCTCGCGGTCCGCGAGTTCGAGCCCCGCGTCGGGCTCTGGGCTGATGGCTCAGAGCCTGGAGCCTGTTTCCGATTCTGTGTCTCCCTCTCTCTCTCTGCCCCTCCCCCGTTCATGCTCTGTCTCTCTCTGTCCCAAAAATAAATAAATGTTGGAAAAAAAAAAAAAAGAAAACAACAACAAAAAGTTCTGTGAGATAAAATGAAGGGGTTGTAGTCTGGTCCCATTCTTCTCTGGGCTGGTCAGCTCCCTTCCGGAGCACTGGAGTTGTGCTGGGGTCTCACTGTGAGACTGACCTGTCGAAACAGACCCCGTTCAGACAGTGAGAAACTGCCACATGAGAGTAGGTAAGAAGAATCTAGAGCATGTAGTCTAGAGAAAAACAATTCAGGAGTGACACACTACTCAAGGTCCTCCACATTCCTGAGGGCAGACTCAGTGTGTGGACATTACAGGGAGAGAGATTTCAGCTTCAAACCCAAAAGAAATGTTTAATAATTCTGAGCGGGCGTTGGCTGAATCAGGACACAATGCATTCTCTGGAGCTGGTGTCTCCACGCAGAAGCCAGGACATTACTCAGGTAATTCAGGACATCTGCCTGGACAACCTTTAAAATGTCTTCCAACCTTAAGATTTTGTGACTTGCTGAGTGAAATTCTAATTTTATAATTTATGACTCAGGAGAGGCTCTTATTTTGAGTCAGAGTATCTGAGTAGTAAGGCCCCAGCTCCTTAGCATCAGATAGCCCTGGCTTCTGAGACTGGCTTTGTCACCCACTAGCTGGGTGACCCTGGAAAATTTCTTCCACCTTTCTGAATCTCAGTTTTCTTGTCTATGAAATGGCAATACTTACCTGGTAGGCTTTTGTTGGCATTAAGTGAAAGAATACGATAAAAGATCAAAACAGCAGGTTGTGTGTGTGTGTGTGTATGGGGTGGGGGGAGGCAGTGAGAGAGAGAGAGAGAGAGAGAGAGAGAGAGAGAGAGAGAGAGAGAGAGAGAGAGAGAGAGGAAGAAAGTACAGGACCTTCGCCATGCTATAAAATCTTATTACTGCCTACTGGTTAATTTTTGTCTTCATAAGACTAGCTTATAGAGCACTGGGTTTAAGGAAAAGGCGAAATAGACTCTGACATAGTATGCACAGATTCTGGGTTCAATCCTCTAACAGGGAAGGGGAGGGTCTGACCTGGGGAGGAAGGGGCAAGAGAAAGTCATCACCTGAGGGCTACAAATAGCCCTGGCCCTGTTCCTGGGTTTCCGGCCACTGGATGAGTATGGCCGTCTAGTTGCCCACCTTACAAGAGAGCGGTGGGCCCGGACAAGCCCCCTGCTTCCCCATGCTGACTGAGGTATGACACTGTATCTGGAATGACCCTCCTTTGTGAAGTGGGCAAGGTTTTTTTTTTTTTTTAAAGCCTTCCCCACCTCTGTTCTGATACTTCTTCCCCCAGCCCCAACTTCCCCTTACTTTCTCCTGCCTAATTCCTCCTTCACAACTTAGTTCCTTAGAAACACCTCAGTTTGTCAGGGGGCCTGGGTGGCTCCGTTGGGTAAGTGTCCAACTCTTGATCTTGGCTCAGGTCATGACCTTATGATTCATGAGAGCATGCCCCATGTGGGGCTCTGTGCTGAAGTGTGGCACCTGCTTGGGATTCTCCCTTCCTGTCTCTCAGCCCCTCCCCCTGCTCACGTGCCTGCTTTCTCTCTTTCTCTCTCTCTTTCAAAATAAATAAACTTAAGAAAGAAAGAAAGAAAGACCTCAGTTTGTTCCCAAGGAGGTACAAGTGACTGAAAAGCTGAAACGGCCACCTCTCCTCAGGGACCTCTCTCCTCAGCGGACCCTACAGCATGGGTCGCCGTGGGAGTGAGTGCCGCTGGCACCACGCCAGTGTGTCCCTGCCCAGCTGACGGACTCTGGGCCAGGCCCTCACTGTCTTGAGCACTGGTGGATGGTGGTGAAAACCCAGGCTCAAAGCCTCGCCGGGGGTGGGGAGTGGCCCCCGCTGTTGGAGGAAGTGAGTGGGTCCTGCCTGCGGCCTCAAGCTGACTCAGTGATTCCTGGAAGGTGGTGATGTCATGGTGACATCGCAGTTCCCCACCCCAGCTCAAGTCAACAGGAGAGTTAGTGACGACCGTCTCTCATTGGCTCTGAGCTCTGAGGCCCCCAGTGACCAAGTCCCCCAGATCTTGCAGGCCGCTTAATGCCGCCTGCATTAATAAATCCCTTCTCCCGATTTCCACAGCTCAGGTCATCTGTCCCTACCGTGATCCCACATTCTGGGCAGCCTTGGGTGGTTTTAATCAGTTTGTCCCTTTCTTTTTCCATGTAAATAAATTCACAAATCATAAAAATCACTCCGGGCCAGGCCATGTGCCCTGGGGCTGGGGGAACAAGGAGACTCCGGCCGTGCCCGCCCAGAAACAGCAGTGAGGACGTGTACCCTTGTGTCTTTCTCCGGTTTCACATCTGCCCGTCTTCAACAATGTTAATAGCTCCGGAGGGTCAGGAGCTGTGTGCCTTGATTCCTTTTGTCTCCTCCAGGACTCCCGAATGGGGCTGAGCACGTGAGCTGCTAAAACTGCGTGTGGGGGAGCTAGCTCCCCATCTCATCCCGTCACATCGTGGAGGAAGGGGCGTCTGCAACAGGGGCCCTAAGGCTGGGGAAGGAGGAGATGCCTTTTGCTTCTGGAGGACGGGTGCCATGCTCAGAGGTAACTAAGTCCAGGTGTGGGTGTGGGAAAAACCTCGCTGGACTTGCCGGGGCCCGGGGTGCTTTCACGAAACCACTCCCTCCTCCCCTGTTCCCCAAAGACCCGACTCCTTGGGAGGCCGAGTGTCAGAGCCGCGTGCGTAAACTGGGTCCTTTGTCACCTGGAGTCTGAATTCCAGCGCCTCCTCGGCGGTTCCTCCCAGCCGGGTTCCAGCGGTTTTCAGGAGGCGGCCCGGCTGGCCTCACGCTGCCCGATGCTGCCTCCTGCAGGCGGTTCTGGGGCACAGCCCTCACGGCCGGGCTCTGAGCGCCTGCCGCCCAAGCCCGAACGGTGGCTTTTCATCACCTGAAGTTGTCAGGGCAGCTAATAGCCCATGAACGTGTAGAGAATGAGGCTTCTCCAAGTGAATTGGGTGTTGAAAGATACTGTGATAAATGGTGGAGGTAGCGAGGGTGACTGATGAAGATTCAAATCTGAAAGGAGATGGTGGGGGTAGGGGTGAGGTGGCACAAGAAGGCACTAATGTGGATTGCGACCTTGCCATTTACATCGAGGCTCACGCCAATCTGAGAGGCAGGTGTTCTGAGCCCCTGCTTAATGAATGATGGAATCGAGTCTTAGAAAGGTTAAGTAACACGACCACGGTTACACAACAAGTAAATGGCGGGGCCAGGGCCTGAACTCAGTGACCCCATAGCTCTGTGACATCTGCCGTCCCATCACCCCATGCTAAGAGAGCAGAAGCCTGCCCAGGAGGAAGATCTCTTTATCTATGGTGTGAACGGGGTTCTTTGGAATGAAGATGAAATGTTAACAGCATTCTCTTCACTAAGAGTTTTAGCCATAGCCTCTGTGATGGGATTTTAGGGATGCTGGGGAGATCTCCCCACCTGAAAACATCCCCCAACTTGCCCGTCACGTTGCCCAGAATTTCACTATAGGAGAGTCATTCCCTTGATTAGCATTGGCTGCACGGTACTCTCTTATTAACTGAAAGCGTGACGCCGGGGGGGGCGGGGCGCCCGGGGCGGGGGGGGGGTGGCGGTGGAGGGTGTCACATGTTAAGCCCTTACATCTTACCTCAGTGGGGATTAGCTTGTCATTGTTTTATCCCTGTGATAGAGAATTGAAGGTGTGGGGAAAGTGGAGGACAAGAATATCTTTGTCCCCAACTACGTGCTTCATCTTCTCCCCCCATTATGCTTCTTTCTTTGACATCACATGGGCCCAGCCATCTTCAAGGTGTCTGTCACTCCTCCATCTAATTGGTCATGCAGTCGAACCTGGCTTACCTCTTAAGTGGTGCTTGACTCTTTTCCTGTGCACACCCCCCAAGTTGATCTCTGGTCAGATTGTTTCTGGCTTGTTCCTGGCTCTGGGCCTTTAATTGAACCTGGGGCAGCAGTAGAAGAGAGCTTTCTAGAATGCAAATCTGATAATGCTGCACCTCCTCTTAAGACCTTCCTCATTGCTTAAGGAGTGCAGACTCCTTAGTATTTTCTACCAGCCCCTCAGGACCTCAGTGCTACCCCTCTCTCTAGCACCAGTTCTGTCTCATCTCTGTACATTCCTCCTCCATCCCATTTCTGCTTCATTATCAAACACTTTTCCTTTGTTACCTCGAATGTTCATTCACATCTTCATGCCTTTGTCCATGCTTTGTTTTTGTCCGGAAAGCCTTTCCTCTTCGGTGGTCTCAGCTGGCCACTTCCTGGTGAAGCCATCCCTGATTCTCACCCCCAACCCCCCAGGAGGAGGTGTTTTTATGTCTGTGTCTCCTCCGTGAAGCCTGGATACATAAATGAACGAGTGAATGAGTAAATGGAGTCAGCTGATGAGTGGCCTGTCCGTTTCAAAGGATTTTTGAAACGAATACAAACCGTGGCTGCATTTGTGAATGTTGCCGTGATGCATGGAACGTGTATGTGTGTGCATTGGTGGGCTACAATGGCTCTGTTATGATAAGTGATTTGATGGGCCTTGAACTTACACAAGCAGAATAGTTTCAGAACATTGCCATGGAGACAGATGAGGCCTCAAGCAGCAGGGTACCACTTAGGCAGTGACAGATTTTACAGAAAATGGACTTAGATACACCTTTCTTGTCAAAAAAAATCCCCCAGCTAATGGGAAGAGTGCTTCAAGGCAGAATGAAACCTTGCACCCCAACGAATAAAAAGCCCCTGAAGTTAGGAAAACAGGAAGTAACAGGGTAGGAAGAAGGTAAATTCTTAACGATATACCTAGAGCAAAAGACCAAAAAAAGAGAGTGAGGAGGCTGAAGCCCTACCATGATGTTGGAGTTCCAGATGTTATCAGAAAATGAACAGAGGAAGATGTTTCAAATATATAATTACGTTAAAGAATATAAGGAAGGAATCCTGTTGTGCGGTGTGATGAGATATCACAGAGAATATTCAGGACTGGAGAAAACTTGTCCCTGGGGCTTTGGCAAGTTATTAATCATTTATGACATAACTAGAAATAACATCTTCCAATTCTCCCTAATCTGTAGAGAATGACCTTTCCTGCCCGGTCGAAATGTGTTCATTCAAGGACTAGTTCAAATGACGCCTCTGCAAATAAAGCCTTTCCTGAGTCTCCAGGCAGGGCTAACAACTTTCTCGATGTGGCTCCTCGGGCTGCTCTTCTCTCTGTTTATTGCACCCACCACTCTGACAGTTGCCAAATGATTGTTTTCTACTTCCATCATTCCTTCTCCTTCTGTTAATTGGCAGGTTACTCTAATAAGGAGCTTTCCCATTTTCTGTGTTTGTTTATAGATTTATTTTAGTAAGGGCTCTCATTTTATTCAGTAGATTGTATTCCATTGCCAACCTTGTTTATCTTGATACTCTGACCGTCTCAGACACGGCCAGTGTTCCTTCCAGGATGCTCCCACATCCTTCTGACACGCCCCCATCATCTCAGCACTTGTTGGCAGTCTGATACAACAACATGACTCAGATTCATCTTGTACTTTTCCTGCTGCAGCCTGGATTACCCCTTTCCCCAGGGAGAACTGCTTCCTTTCAGTGGAGGATGGTGTTTAGGAATCAAGATCTGGCCACCTAGTGTGTTTATTGTTAGTGGGGTGTCATTGCTTCTAGACCCTTTTGGTGGAGGGAGCTAGGAAATACATGTATGTATATGCACAAATATGTATATACACATACTGGAACCTGTAGCTATTTCTATATATCCCTGTATTTATATACTTAAAAAAATAAGCTGATGTTTATACATCCAATTCCATTCCACGTTCATGGTTCTTTATTGTTCTCTCCCTCTTTAGGTTTGCAATTCCTTTCTCAACCTGGCTCTCATTATCCTCAATGTGTACCTGTTTGCTCAATACGATTACTTATTTGCTTAATACAATCAATCTCCCAATCATACCAGCTGTATCTTTTACCTCCACTTCCTGCCCCCACCCTCCAGCATCCTGTGTCCTTGGGCACCAGTAGGTATGCCATCCAAGGGCCTCCACAGGGAAGCCCTCTCCTGCTGTCAGTACCTGGTGGGGCCATGGTGCCGACTATTCCATGCCAGAAAGGGAAGAGGAAAGGAAGGAAAAGGAAGAAAAAGTCTGTGCTGATTGCTTTAACTGAAAGCTAAAAGGAGGGAAAAAGAGATGCCATTTCACCTAATCAGCAAGTGCTTTATCAAGTATTGATTAGTAAGAAAGCACGGATGGATGCATATGGCATGTATGAACTGGTAATCAATTTTGCTTTAATAAATCATCCAATTATTTATGTTTAAACACATTGTTGTTGTCCCTGTCTTCACAAATGCCATATAACCTTGTAGATGGAGTGGAAAACGTAAAATAGCACTGATAGGTCAAAGAAACGTCCAAAGGGCAATTCACAGTTGGTACAGACCTCAAGATAGGGACTTCTCTTAGAATTCTGTAGACAAAGTTAAAAAAAAAATTATCCTCTAAAGTTGAAACCCACAACAATCAACTTCAAATGAAATAAGGTTAACAACCTTTGGGCAGAATCATCTTGGAAGATAACTTGTAATTGTCTACTGGATACAACCAGGGTGCTTTCCAAATCTCCGCCAAAGAGACTGGAGACCCTTCCAAAACCCATCTGTGTAGTTACTCATTTACCACCAGTCATGTTGATGTCTACTGGGTTTCTTCTCTGCAAAGGTATCATTTCTCTCTTTGGAATTCTGTGTTAGTCTGCTAACTACTGGGGGATATAACAGGGAAGAAAACACAGTCCTCATGCTCGGCAAGTTCGTGGTCTGATTGGAGAGACAGACCAGTAACCAGGCCATTTCAGTACATGGGCTAAGTCCCTTGAGAGGAGTGAGCACCCAGCTCTGACTTCGTGGAGGATATATGGAAAGGTTTCTCAGAAGAAGTGCCATCTAAGCTGAGATTTGAAGGACTGCTAGGAGTTAGCTAAGAGAAGGGTGTGGGAGAAAGGCAGAAAGGAGAGAATATTATAGGATGAGGGGCCACATGTTCTAAGATCTGAAAAAATGAGAGAGCATGGAAGGCTTAGGGAGTGGCAAGTGGCTCAGTGTGGCTGGAATACCAAATTTGCAGGGGAATGGGGGATATGAGGGATATGAGACTGAGGAGCTATGTAGGGCCAGAATCATCAGAGGTCTTGGGACCCGTATTTTGGCATTGGACTTCATCCTAGAGAAAAGGAGACATCCCTCAAAGGTTTTAGGCAGGTATGTGATGTGATCATAGTCCCATTTTAGAAAACCCCTCTGGCTGTGTGCAGTGAGTTAGTCAACTTGAGGTTAAGGGCACAGTCCCCACAAGTCTGCCCTCACTTCAGACACCAGCCCCAGGTTCAGGGTCCCCAGGATCACCTTTTCTTCATAGCATCTGGCTGCAAATTCAAGGGTTCTCATGACTACCCTCACAGTTGATAATCTGATATTTAGGAAAGTGTTATACTTAGGAGTACACTTTTATTATAATAAACAGATATAGGGGCGCCTGGGTGGCGCAGTCGGTTAAGCGTCCGACTTCAGCCAGGTCACGATCTCGCGGTCCGTGAGTTCGAGCCCCGCGTCGGGCTCTGGGCTGATGGCTCAGAGCCTGGAGCCTGTTTCTGATTCTGTGTCTCCCTCTCTCTCTGCCCCTCCCCCGTTCATGCTCTGTCTCTCTCTGTCCCAAAAATAAATAAACGTTGAAAAAAAAAATTAAAAAAAAATAATAAACAGATATAAATTGGACTTAGTCAAGGATATAATTAATTGGAATCAGGAGGGTTCCAAACATGAAGCTTCTAGGCCCTCAGGATGCATTACTTCCCAGCATCTCTACATGAATAGGCACAAGTATTGCCAACCACGTTAGTTCATGCAAGCTTTAGTAAGGGAGCACTGTCAGGGTGGAGCCCAGTGTGGGACTCGATCCTATGAACGAGCCCTAATGACTGTAGGATCATGACCTAAGCTGAAATCCAAGAGTCAGACGCTTAACCGACTTAACCGACTGAGCCACCCAGGCGCCCCTAGAATTTTTATTGAGGCTTCGTTACCTAGTCATGGTTGATTGCATAATAACTTATATGGTTGAACTTAAGCTCCAGGCTACTTCCCCTCCCTGAAGGTCAGGCTGTCACATGGCCCAAAGCCCCACCCACAATCACTTGGTTGGTCTTTCAGACTCAGCCAGCCCCACTCTGACTCATCTCATGAGCATAAATGAGGGCCCAACGTTGAATAACAAAGACACTCCTCTTGCTGTGAAAATTGCAAGTTTAGGGATTTCCTCCTAGGAACCCAGACAAAGGGTAGATCTTTAGGTGACGCCAAATTTCTTACTGTGCACTGTGGTGTGGCAGTTAGATCGTATGAGAGTTAAGTCTGAAAACAGGAAAACCAGTTAAGTGGTTGCTGCAGAAATCCAAGAAAGAGAACATGATGGCCTAGGCCCAGGAAGAACAGAGAGGATGGAAAAAAGTAAAGGGGTTTTGATACATTAAGAATAGAATGTCAATACTTGGTGTTTGACTGGGTAAGGAGGTTGAGGGCTGGGGAGGAGACAAGGACTATGGCACAGGTGTCCTGGGCAAATAGCTGGTTTAGGGCTGCTGTTTGCCAATATCTCTTGGCTTCTTGTTTTCCGGATCAATCAGCCTAGCACGATGCTTGGCACATAATAAACATTTAGCAAATATCTGTTGAGTTAAAAAAAAAAAAATGAATGAATGGTCCCATCTTCCAGCAAAAGAGGAAGAGACTGCTGTAAGGGTGCAAGCCATGTTCAACACATGTTTATTGTGCCCTTCTGAACTAGGGCCACAAATTAGCTCACCCAGTTTCTGCAACTGGACATTTCCACCTCCCATGTGGGATGTGTCCTAGGATTGCTTAAGTATGTGCGTGTGTATGTGTGTAATAAGGGGAGTTTCTTTGCAAGTTGTGAATCTTATTGTTTATTTGAAAGCTGGACACACGTTGTACTGTATTGGAGAGCCTTGAAGAGGGGTATGTGTTTGCCTGGAACAGAACTAGGATGAGTGTTGAGAGGAACGTTCTTTCCCCTCTCTTCATGTTTCCATACAGAGGGAGTTTGATTAGGATAATACTCTTGGCTTCTCTCTGTCCCTTCCTCTCTTCTCCCTAGTGGTTTAACAATTTAATGAGCTTGGCAAAAGGCACTGAGGGTACCTGGCTCAGTTTCTCCCTGACTCTCAGAATCTGTCTGCCTCCAGAGAGTATAGGTTATCATCAGCTTTCCGCTGGGCACTCGGCTTTGTGGAGCAGGCTCCACAGTGACTCATCCTGGAGGCAGGGTTTGGAAGCCACTCTTACTGTGTACCTAAGTCACACTTCCTGGACCAGGTTTAGTATTACTAAATTCATGGAAGAGGAATGGTATTTGTTTCACACTCTCTCCAACACTGTGCTCCCAGCAAAAGAGCGGAAGTCGCTTCCATGACCTGTACCCCGTCCCCTGCCCTGATTCCCTGGGTATTGGTTTTATGGCTCCCTTACAGCCTGAGTTCCTGTTTGCATTAGCTTGGGCCGCCATAACAAAATACTGGGGAGCGTAACAACAGAAATGCATTTTCTCACAGCTCTGGAGTCATTGGGCTTGGTTTCTGGTAAGGCCTCTCTTCCCGGCTTGCAGACAGCCATCTTCTTGCTGGGTCCTCCGGACATGGCCTGTTTTCTGTGCACAGCCAGACAGACAGAAGGGTCACCAGGAGCTCCTCCTTTTCTTATTGGACCCCAGTTCTATGGAATCAGGGCCCCACCCTTATGACTTCACTTAACCTTAATTAATTCCTGAAAGTCTGTATCTCCAAATATAGTCATATTGGGGGTTAGGATTTCAATATATGGATTTTGGTGGTGGTGGTGGGAAATGTAACAGTCCATAACACTGTTCTTTTAAAGGGCTCTCCCATCTTCTTTCATGATTAGGACATAGTTATATAGACTATATAGAAATGTGAGAATTACTGGATTGTAATTTCAAACTGGTTTTAAGAACCATGAGCCCGGCGCTCAATAATTGCTGTTTGATGCCTTCAGGAATGGGATGCTTAGGTTTTGTGTAATATTGGTGTCAGTTGACTTTGGGCATAACACCAAGGGTCATGGATGATATATCGGCCCTTTGGATGACAGTATCGGCTGCACCCAGGTGCATCTGAGGAATTTTCCGATGCTGACTGGCGGGTGCTGTTTGTTATGTCGCAAAAGTCCTCCAAGACTGAATGGTTTAAAGCTGGGGGCAAAAATCACCTTTAGAAGATTGTTCCTGTCTTATTCCCATGTCATTCCTGAAAAGCTCATGCGGCTCATTATGGGTTGTTGTGGTGTTAAAAGGGATGAGTTTCTGGTTTGAGAAAAATACTGGTATGTGGAAGGAAGGGCTTAAATATTTAAAACTATAAAATGTCATCAAAGTTATTCTGATCTGGGCTTTAGAAGTCACCCCGTCTTCTCTCATGATATTGGCAGGCAATGCAATGTTGATATAGCTCCAAAGAATTTGCTAGCCTCTCTGGGCAGCATCCTCTCTGTTGGAAGGCCACAGCCTTGGAATGAGAGCTCCAATGCTGGTCACAGACAGCCCATGTCTTGGGACACAGCTTTAAGGGAGGTCTCAGTGGTGCCAGGTGACAGAAGCGAGAGCAGAGGCTGTGGAGCAGGCAGAACTTAGTTCCAATTCTGCCTCTGCTGTTGTAACTTTCAGCACATAACTTTACCTCTCCAAGCTTCTCTGAGCTGCTGTTTTCTGTTCTGTAAAATGGGAATAACACCACAGAATACCGTTATCAGGATCAAACAAGATGGTGTACTTAGGTGTGCGCCATGCCTTGTTGACATTAACGTGTGAGATCCTTTCTCTCAGACCAACCTGATTGCGTTGGGAACTACAAGGCTTGGTGCTCACTTGTTAATGATGTTCATTTTCTCCACAAGACCTGCTCTGACCTCCAGAACCCTGTGGAAGGTCTCTTCCAGACTCTCCACCTTATCACCTGCCAGGTTCATATCCTGTTTGCTGAGTGAGCTTTCTGTCTGAATCTGCATTTTACTTCCTCAGCTAGACTGGCCTCTCTTTCACAGCCTCTCTTTCATATCTGGTTTATGTTTCATTTTCGAATCCTAGCACAATGCCTCTTTGCACATAGCACTGCTCAAAAAATAGGGATTGGCTGATATTTCGCCTACTTTTGTCTCCTCAACATTGCCCCAGGGTCATGAGCTGAACTCAGACTACTACATAAGGCGTTACTACAAAGTAACAACATGTTTATTCCTTTATCTGTTTATCTAGCAGCCCAACCATGACTCACACATCCAAATGAGGCTGCTGCCTTATAAGGAGGCACTTTGAAGGCTATTATTCCAAGGAGCCTGCCACCTCCCGAAGCATTTTTAGAACTCCTGCTTTGAATCACTACCAGTGTCAAGATGGTGAATCCTCACACCTCCTGGGAGCAGTTATTTTTGGAAACAATGAAAGTCAGGTTGGCCAAGTTTGGTAAGTATGGTCCTTCAGGGGGTGGGTGGGTGTGGAGAAGGAGGCAACCTGGGCATTTCTAATGTGTCAAGCACTTTGCATTCACTCTTATTTTATTCTTAATAACATTTCTGTGAGGCAGGTGTTATTATTACCTCCATTTTACAGACAAGGAGTCTGAGGCATAAAGTGCACATTCTCTATACAGGAATATCATGGCTTCCCCCCTCCCTGCCCCCATTACTAAGCTAGCATTAGGAGGCCAGGAAGCAGGCAGGACAGACATACTTAAGTGACCTTTCTGCACCCAGGCAGAGACGAGGAACAGGGGCGTCTTATCTAAAGACAACAAAGCCAAGAACAGTGACATTTGAACTGGTGGGGGCGGGGAAGTTAAGGGCAATGCAGAAACCCTGGAGGAGAGGGGAAATGGGTCCATGCAAGCACCTGTAGGGCATCTCTGGGAGAGATCAGACAAGAGGGGACAGGACTGACTGGTCCAGGACTGGGGACTCATGAGCAGGAGAAGGATGGTCACCAGAATTCCTAGCTCAAGGAATTCCCTTTGTGCCTCTCTTTTTCACTTTTTAAACATGGTGTTCATGTTTGCTGACTGAAAGAAGGGCTCGAGTTCATTGTGGAAAACTTGGAAAATACAGAGGAGTATAAAGAAGATAAAAACGATCTGTAGGTGACCCCTCCTCCCCAAGATCTCAGGCTTTGGTAAGACACAGCCACTGAGCCCATCAGCGCACACGAGGTTATTTATAAGCTCCTGGCTTCTCACCCACCCACTCCCCTCTCTGCTTGGGCTTGGGAGGCCTGGGGCCAGGACATTCCCTTGCAGCCTACACAGGCTGCTATATAAAGTCCTGCTCTTCTAGGGGCTGGATCAGGACGTTCCTTATCTCTTTGCAGCAGGGTTCTGATAATGCGCCCAGTTGGCTGGCACTCTGAGCCGAGCCTGGGCTCTGGCTGCTGCTACTGGGGCCTCCAGCCCCCCCATGGTTGTCTGTGCTGGTTCCCGCTGAGACTTGGCCAAAGACACTAACTGAAACCTTCAATGTAGCAAGTTGTTTGCTCGTTGCATTAAAGGGCAGTTGCCAGACAGCTGAGTTGAACTGGATGGGTTTGGCATGAGTGACGGGTGTGTCCAGCACATGCAAGATCCATGGTCAGTGTCCCCCTCCTGAAGCAGCTGTGCCTAACCCCCACTCTCCCAGCCCCCGCCCTGATTTCCCTCTCCTTCCTCTTCATTAGTGCTTGGCTCAGAATTTTCTTCTTCCATATGGCTTCTGCAGGCAAAGGCCTTCCGTGGCTGGTGGCCTGCCTGTCTCTGTTCCAGAATTCCGGGCTGGACTTCTCCCTAATCGATGGTGGACCATAGCAAACGTCCTCTCTCTGCCTGGAAAATAAGTTTTGCCAAAGGAAGTAGAACCATCTTATTGCTACAAGTTGGGGCAGAGGGGAGTCAAGAGAGACAGCCTGAAAAAATGCATAGGCTTTTGCATTTGCATTTGCATAGAAGGTGGAGGAGGGACTGCAAAGTATTCCCTAAACTGAGAAGGCACTTTGAGACTGAAAACACGAAAGGAGGCCACGCCATACAGTTGATATAGACTTTCATTCAGGGTAACTTACTGATGGGGGTGGGGGCGCCGGGGAATCAGGCAGATGGTGATCCGGCTGCAGAGTTATTCTCTGCGAAATCTGGGCTTTAATCTACAGATTTTATAGAACGAGGGAATGTGCCGAAGGACACTGTAGTGAGACCAAAGGGTTTGCATGCACCTAATTGACATCTAACATTTAATTAGATCTCACGGCACCACCTGTGTATCAAGAAAGGGAGAGATACGTTACCTTGAGCAAACTTACAGAGGGCCAAAGCTAGCCTCCCTCCATCTCAGCCTTGGTAGGCATTTTAAGGCATGTATATTAATCTCCTAGGGGCCCTGGAACACATGGAGGGGGGGTGGGGTCAGTGAACAAGATAGAGGGTAAAGATGGGCTCAGTAGTGTTTGCTTTCCTATAGTGTTAAATCAGACACAACCAGTGTGAAATCCTGGCTCCTTCGCTTAAAAGGATGTGTGATCTTAAGCAAGTTGTGTATCTCCTTTGAGGCTGAGTTTTCTCATCTTTAAGATGTAGAGTATGATATCTCTAAGAACTCCTGCAAAAATGAAATAAGAGGTCATGTATAAAACACGGGAAACATATTTTAGGTGGTATTATGATAGTTATTATAATTTTTGTTAATAATATTTTTATTTATGATCATTTGGATAAGAGAGAAGTGATGGCTTCTGTTTTCCCCTTTTAGATTCAACAGAGAAATTCTTGACCTTGGTTCTTAAGAAACCTGTTTAAGCAAAAAAGATACATGTTTCCATTGATATTTAAATGAGGTTTTTCAAGTTCTGAGAGAATCCTCTTTATTTTTTTACACTTTTTTTTTTGAGAGAGAGGGAGAATGTGTGAGTGGGAGGGAGGCGGGGGGGGTTGGGGAGAGAAAGAGAGAGAGAGAGAGAGAGAGAGAGAGAGAGAGAGAGTCTTAACCAGGCTCCACGCTCAGCCCAGAGCCCAACATGGGGCTCGATCCCACGACCATGAGATCATGACCTGAGCCAAAACCAACAGTCAGCCACTTAACCGAGTCATCCAGGTGCCCCCTTAGAGAATCCTTTCAAAGCAACATCTGGGCCCTGAGGAGGTCCTGGTTCACCTTTGTATTGGCCTGTGAGAATCAGTCAACTTTATACAAAAGGGAAAGTCATTGTACTTATGGCTTAGTCTAAATTTAGTAGCAAAACATTCCTGCTATAGGGGTGCCTGGGTGGCTCAGTTGGTTAAGCGTCCGACTTCAGCTCAGGTCATGATCTCTCTGCTGGGGAGTTCAAGCCCCACTTCAGGCTCTGAGCTGTCAGCACAGCTAACAAGCTGAAGCCTGCTTCCGATTCTGTGTCTCCCTCTCTCTCTGCCCCTCTCCTGTTCATACTGTGTCTCTTTCTCCCAGAAATAAGTAAATGTTAAAAAAATAAAAATAAAAAAACCCACATCCCTGCTGTAAGCTACAAGGGACATCACAATGGAATGATTACATATGAAATATCAATAGTGAAAATATAACTTCTGAGAACATAAAAGATACAATTAAAGCAGTGTCCAGAGAAGAATGCATAGTGAGACTCTTTGTGTCAACTTGACCTGGCCATAGGATCAGGGCCCACATAGGACCCAGCTATTCTGTCAGACATTATTCTGAGTGTTTCTGTAGGGTGTTTGTGGATGAGATTAACATATGCATTGGCAAACTGAGCCAAGCAGATTGTTCTCCCCAGTATGGGTGGGCCCCATCCAATCTGTTGAAGGCTTGACTAGAATAAAAGGTGAAGAAAGAATTCTTTCTCTCTGACTGCCTGTCTTTGAGCTGGGACATCATCCTCTTCTGCCTTTGGACTTGTACTTGTACTAGGACTCACACCTCCAGTGCTCCTGGGGCTCCAGCTTGCTGTCTGCCAATCTTGGGACTTCTCAGTCTCTGTAATTGCGTGTGCCAAGTCCTTAGAATAAATTTCTTTTATATATTTCTTTTTAATTTTTTTAAATATTTATTTATTTTTGAGAGTCAGAGAGAGACAGAGCATGAGCAGGGGAGGGGCAGAGAGAGAGGGAGACACAGAATCTGAAGCAGGCTCCAGGCTCCGAGCTATCAGCACAGAGCCCAAGGCGGGGCTCGAACTCACATACTGCGAGATCATGACCTGAGGGGAAGTCGGATGCTTAACTGACTGAGCCACCCAGGTGCCCCATAAATTTGTTTTATATTGATATAAATCAGTATCCTATTGATTCTGTTTCTCTGGAGAACCCTGACTAATACACATAGTCTAATAATAAATTAATAAAAAATTAAACAGGAATGAAAAATGAAATACGCATCCCACTGAAGTAGTTAGAAAAAAGGCCATAAACCTAAGGAAAGCAGAAGGAAGAAATTAATAAATGTTAAAGCAGAAATGAATAAATTATAAAACAAAATTTTTATAATTAATAAATTATAACAAGTAGCTAATAACTAAATCTAAAGCTAATTCTTTTTTTTTTTTTTTTATTTTTTTTTTTTTTTTTGCCAGAGAGAGAGAGAGAGAGAGAGAGAGAGAGAGAGAGAGAAGACACATGCACATGCTTGAGCAGGTAAGGGACGGGCGGAGGAGAGGGAGAGAATCCCAAGCAGGCTCCACGCCCAGCCCAGAGCTCCACTCGGGACTCGATGTCATGACTGTGAGATCATGACCTGAACCAAATCAAGAGCGGGTCGCTTAACTGACTGAGCCACCCAGGCGCCCTAAAGCTAATTCTTTTAAAAAGCAATAAGATTTATAAGATTTATAAAATGTCGGCTAGGGGTGCCTGGGTGACTCAGTCAATTGAGTGTCCAACTCTTGATCTCAGCTCAGGTCTTGATCTCAGGGTTATGAGTTCAAGCCCCGCAGTGGGCTTCATGCTGGGTGTGAAGCCTGTATAAAAAAGGAAAAAGAAGAGAATTATAAATTGTCAGATAACTTTGTCAAGAGAAAAGAAGGAAATAGCCACAAAAAAAGAAATGCTAAGGGGATAACAACCACAGAGGAATAGAATTAAAAGAAACCTTAGAGACTATATTACTCAACTCCATGTAAATATATTTAAAAACTTGTGTTGTAAAAAAAACCTGACGTTACTCAAAGAGAGCTCTGGCCTTTCTCCTTGGCTCCTGGGAGATAAGCTCCAGGACCTTGGAATGTCCTGCCTGATAAGAATGTCTTTCTTTACTGGGATGGGGGGGGGGGGGGGGCGCGGCTCTCAGGCCACACGAAACAGTTTAACAATGTGATTCAGGACAGGAGCTTTGGGTTATATGCTATTCACTCTATCCCTGCTCTGCTGTAAACGTCAGCTCCATGGGCAGTCAGTCCCATCTTGTGGTTGAGCTCCAGGAGAAACTCTGGACACTCAGGTGAGCTTCCCTATCTGTCACTACTCTGTATGGTTGCATGTGCCCGCTGGGGAGAGCAGTGCTGTCCGTGAGTCCATCAGGAAGGCTGGAGGCTCAGTGCTCAGAAGTTCCCTGGACTCTGCCTGGCGCATCTTGCACCTCTTTCCTTGGCTGGCGTTAATCCTTTCACTGTAATGAACTGTAACGACGAGTACAACAGCTTCCAGTGAGTTCTGTGGGTCCTTCTAGCAAACTGTCAAACCTGACGGTGGTCTTCGGAAACCCCTAAGTTTGTAAAGCCTGATATATTGGATAGTTTTCTGAAAAAATATAATTCTCCTCAATCTGAATCAACATCATAGTCAATGACATATTCAATGTTAGTTTTGCCTTAGTTAACCTACAAATTAAAAGAAATCGCAAAAAAACAAGTAGTTCATATGGAAAAAGAAGGTGAAAAGTGAATGGGAAACTAGCCCTAGATGCTATAATGCATATTATAAAGCTACAGTAATTAAAATAGTGTAGGACATCTTGCAGTTGGAACAAAATAGGAAATCCAGAAATAGACCAAAACTTATTGGGAATTTAGTTTATGATAATGGTGGCATTTCAAATCATTGGGAAAAAAGATGAATTATTCAATAAATAGTGTGGAGACAACTGAGTAGCCATCTGGAAAAAAATTAAGTTGGATCTATACCTCACTTCTTATATCAGGAAACATACCAGGAAAGTTCAGTGATTTAAATTTTTTCAAGTGCAATAAGAAACTGTGGGAGATTATGAAGCAATCTAGGCCTGAGCCTGGGTGGCTCAGACGGTTAAGTGTCCGACTTCAACTCAGGTCATGATCTCATGGTTCGTGGGTTCGAGCCCCACATCGGTCTCTGTGCTGACAGCTTGGAGCCTGGGGCCCGCTTCAGATTCTGTGTCTCCCTCTCTCTCTGCCCCTCCCCCACTCACACTCCCTCTCTCTCAAAAATAAATAAACATTAAAAAAAGAAGTAATCTAATAACTATTTTGGAATGGGGAAGAAGTTTCAAAGTATGACATAAGATACAAACGTCATAAGGAAAAAAATGGATAACTTCTGCATTAAAAATTATGTATGGAAAGCCAGCAAGCAAATTCTACAGAGGAATGCTAAACCAGGAAAAGTATGGTGATACATAATAATACATATAAAGACCTTTCACTAGTCAATAAGAAAAATGACCATATAATAAGAAAGTAGGCAAAAGATACGAACAGAGAGTTCACGGAAAAGGAAACAAATGATTTTATAAAAGGATGCTTCATATTACGTGTAATAAGAGATATTATAAAATAAAACTACAGAGAAATAGCATTTACTGTTTTCCACGTACCAAATTGACAAAGATAAAAAAATTTATACATTCTGCTGGTACAGGCCTGGGGAACAGAAAGTCTTATATGTTGCTTATGGGATGTTGAATCTGTGCAACATTTATGGATGGCAAAAAGTCACAAACATATATACCAGTTGGCTAATGTTCTGCTTCTAGGAATTTATCCTAATCACTTTTGGACAAAATAAAGTATGTACAAAGTTATTCATTGCAGCATTGTTTGTAAGAGTAAAATATTGGAAACCACCAAAATGTCCATCCAAGAAGGATCATCTGAATAAATTATGGTGCACTGAGCCAATGGAATACTATGCAACCCTGAAATAGACCAAGGAAACTCTTTATGTACTAACAGGGGAATGAGCTACAGATCCACTAGGAAGTGAAAACGATAAGGTGTAGAACTATTATGTGCAAAGCAGTGCATATCGTTTCCGTAAAAGAGGAAAGAAAAGAACATCCATTACAGTGAGAGCTCCTATGTGTTGTTTAAGCTCACCTCCATCCTATGAAGAAGGTACTATGATTGTGTCGTGCTCTGCAGATGGGGGTAACTGGGGTACAGAGAGGCTGCCCAAGGTCATGTATCAGTTGGTATTGGGCAGTGCTGGGTCTCAAACTCAGGCAGTCTGGCTCCAAGGTTTGTCCTCTTCCCACGTGCCATGTTTCTTTATATGGATGCATGTGCATATTTGCATATTCATAAGCGATCTCTGGTGGCTAAGGGAAAGATATGAGAGTATATAGTGTATTTCACTGTATTCCCTTTTGTGCATTTGGCTATTGGACCATGTGGAGTATTATCTACTAATACATTTAAAACAATTACATTTCTGATTGGGAACAGAGTTCAGGGGAGGGGATATATCGCACAGGACCCAGGTTCCCTGAGGCAGATATAAAGTTCCATCCCGGGTACCAAGAACTGAGTGTCTCTGCCTGCCATGCTGGGGAAACCACATAGCCTCAGTATGACTCGAATCCCTCATGGGGCCTTCGTAACAGTGGTGGGTGGAGGTGAGCAAGGAGATGCCCAGGTCTTGCCTAGTGGAGGGCTGAACCAGCCTGCCCTGCCTCATGCTGAGTTTGGGTCCAAGATCACAGAGGTGGGCATCAGATGGGCATCAGGCTGGGCCCTCTACTTGGGTCTCTACTGTGATCTGAGGTGAGACATGTCTTCCCATATGCCCCCTACGACAGAAGTTTGCTTGATTTTTGCCTGAGGGCTATCAGCACTGTCTGGCCAGGCTTGCTTGACAACCTCAGGGCAGGGGGGATGGGGCAAGGTCTATTTTTGGTGGTGCAGATGTTTCTGCACAGGAAAGTATCCTTGGGAACAGAGGTGGTGCTGTGCAGAGGCGAGCCTTCAGGGTTTCAAGTGCTTGGACCTCGCCTAGCTCTGGGTAAGTGGCCTGCATAACTGTGCTGGGGCATCACCAGCAGCCAAAGAAGGAGGGGCTGTGGGGCTGGAGAGGCTCTTGCTTCCAACATCCGCTCACCCGGAGAAGATTTCCTTTCTCTGCCTGTTCCTTTCCTTTTGCCTGGGCTCAGCCGGGTGCCGGGAATTGAGATGGTGTCAGGTGACAAGAGGCCACCTTCCCCGCAGCTGGCCTCCTCCTCAGGCTGTGATGAAGTGGTCAGAATACCTGCAACGTCCACACAACCACGATGAACGCAGACTCCCCAGCAACCACAATTGCAGCCACCACACTGTAGGGCCGTATGACCAACATCAGCAATCGCTACGGTAAACTGCAGCAAGCACACAAGCACACAACAGCAGTCGCAACCACACCATCTGCGCGACCACACAACACCCACACAAGCACCGCGACCTGCAGCAACCACTGCGTCAGTGGCCATTTATCAACTCTGTCTCATGTTCCGACTTGAGACCCGGAAAGGGGGTCTGCCATGCCTCCCGAGACAGATCAGCAGAGACCTGGGAGGCTTCTCGGACCTTTGGGTGGGAATGAGCCAGTGGGAACTTGGATCAGGTGAGTGGGGTTTATGATGTGGCCTCCTCTGTCTCTGAGGGGAGGTGTGGCCCCTTGAGGACTTCCAAGTCAACTTGGCTCTAAGCCCAAGAGGAGGGGGGATCTTTCTCACTCCCTTTCCTGAAAGACGGGGGCACCTGTCTTATTTTCCTTCCTGGGGACCCCCTGTGATGCTCAGTGCTGAACTCTGAGCATAAATGGTACTTTCTGATTGGAGGGGATGGGACCGAGCAGCCACCTTTCCTCTCATTACGGCATCCTATTTCCTGTGCATCACTGGAAGGAGTGGGCCTCTGGTCATTTGAAAACCAGTCTCTGCGAGGGGGATGGAGGCAGCAAGTTCTTGACCAGAACCTGCCACGTACCATCAGCACAATCCCATAGAAAGCCTCTTTTTTTTTTTTTAAGTTTAATTTTGAGAGAGAGAGAGAGAGAGAGAGACAGAAAGAGAGAGAGAGACAGAGACAGAGCATGAGCTGGGAAGCAGCCAGAGAGAGGGAGACAGAATCTGAAGCAGGCTCCAGGATCCGAGGTGTCAGCACAGAGCCCCATGAGGGGCTCGAACTCATGAGAGGTGAGATCATGACCTGAGCTGAAGCCAGATGCTTAACTGACTGAGCCACCCAGGCTCCCGAGAGTCTCTGTTCTATACAGCCCAGCACTGGTGCTGGCTGTCCAGCTCAGTGAAAGGCATGGTCGAGATAGGACTGTGCACAGAGAAACTATTCAGACTCTCAAGGCAGCTGGTGCCCTGATGGAGGGAGTGCCACTGACAGCCACGGCCACAGTGCCTGGGGAGGGGCACGCTGATGCTTGGGGCTCTGAGGAAGGCTTCCCAGAGAAGGTAGAGCTTGATCCTGCTGTAAAGGAAGGATTTCACTCACCCAATAGAGAGAAAGAGAAGGCATTCCAGGAAGGGGAACAACATGAGCAAAAGCCCAGAGGCCTTATGAAATTTGGTGGAGTCACTGAGTGGTGGGAGGTAGGAGGGCAGGAAGGAGGACGTAGGAAGGCGGAGGAGGTGAGAGGCTGAAGGGGGAGCATCTTGGGATGCGTAGTCCTGTGGGCAATGGAGACACTGAAGGTTTTTCTGAGAGATGGGCAGCAACATATACCAGGCAGCATCCCAGGATGACTTTTTAGCGGCCCTGTGTGGGCGGCTAGCGTGTTGTGCTTAAGGGTGTTCTGGGAGAAACAGGTTAGGTGCAGTGAGAGGCTGGGACTTGGACTCAGTATCCCCAGTGGGAGTGGAAGGTAGGGTAGGAGTGGGCAGGAAGGACACGAGAGAATAGACAGGGTCTCACAGCAGCCTGGGTTCGGGCAGGGTGAGTCAAGGATGATGGCTCCAAGGGATGGTGTTTGGGCTACTGAATGGGGGGTACTCAGTTCGTGGGGAGAGACGCTGTGCTTGTGCAGCGCTGGAGGTAGGGCTGTGACCGTGGGGGGAAGTCCAGGAGGCGGCTGGCTATGCAGCCCAGAAGAAAGGAGTGATGTGGGGTGCAGTTAGGTGGCGACAGCTGGAAGAGAAGGGACCAGGGGTGAAAGAGTGCCAGAGAGAGAAAAGCAGAGGGGCGGGTAGAGAACCGGGACCCAGCTGCAGGCACAGGAGAGAGTGTGAGAGTCTGAGGCCGAGGGGAGGTGAGGGGGAACCATGGCCAGAAGCCTCAGTCTGGAGAGTGAGGCTCCAGCTGCCTGGGTGCCACAGAGGCTCCCTCTCGCTTCAGTGCCTTCCCCCCAACTGCCTTCTGCTTCATGGCAAATGTCCGCTCCCTATGTGGTCACACTTGTTTACCTGTCTGTGCGGCCCACTTCCCCAGGAGCCCTGAGAAGGCTGTACCTCTGTGTCCAGTGAAGGAAAGAACTTACCTGGCAGGTGGGACAGGCCCCGAGGTCTGGGTGATATGTGTGCCCCTGGGGATGTCTGAGTGGCAGACACTTGTCAGGAAGCAGGCCGTCCCTCTTGGCCAGAATGCTCTTTCTTTCCTGGGCTGCTCGGACAGCAGCTTCCTTTTCCTAGGTACCTGCTAGGTACTGGGTGGGCACGGTGGGGCGAGTCCAGTGACAAACTGGGCACAGCCACCTCATGGCTCTTTTCGGTTTCTGCTTCCTGCTAGGGGCCCAAGATGAAATCAAGGGGGAAGAGAGAGGAAGGCGGGCAAGGCAGAGAGTTCACGTGCTAGGAGAGCCCTGAGGACCTAGATATGGCCGCAGAGGGGGAGCAGGGGTGGGAGGAAGAAGGAATTTTCAGAAGAAGAGAGCAGGAAGTAGGTTTGAGTCAGTTTGAAGTTTGAAGTCAGTCCCGAGAGGAAGCGGGGGGACGGCAGCCTCGTGTGTGGGGTGGACAGCCCAAGCCCAGGCAGATAGGTGACAGGGAGGGACAGGGCGGGGCCAACGGAAGACCTGCAGCGTCTGCTGAGGAGGTGGGGTTTGTACAATCAGCGGACTGGGAGTCACAAACCTGAGAAGGTGCTTCAGTCAACACCTGGCAGGTGACTTAGGACGAATTCCTTCTGTGAGACGGGCAGGTGGTCGACAGAGGTCCCACCGAAAACTCAGGCGTTCCCCTGGGTAGTGGCTAAGGACCTGAGCGCCCAGGACCCTGAGCTGGCAGGGATGGCATGGATGAGGGTGTATGTGGGCGGCAAGGAGCAGAGCAATGGCCAGAGGCCTGGGGCTGCTGGGGGCCTGCCTAGTGAGGTGCGAGTTGGGGGAGTTGGGGACGTGTGAAGAAGGGCCAGCTCAGGATTTAGAGAACCCTGGGACAGAAGTGGGGGTGGGGAGAGGGAGAGAGGGAGCAAAGAGAGAGGGAGGGGGCAGAGGGGAGGAGGGGGAAGTGCTTTCTAGACCCCAGGGGATGAGGTTTCACAGATCGTATGTCGTCTGGGTCATTTCCTTGTGAGGCCGTGCACAGGAGGAACCAAACTGTTTCCCCACACCACCCTTATTCTAGGCTGCTGGCCTTAACTCTGTCCATGCCAAGGGAAGAGACAACTCCCCTCCTCCACTCGGGGAGATTGTTAGTTTTGCTGACAAATGCTCTATGCTTCCTCTTTTCTGATTTCAGAGAAGAGGACACTTTTCCTTAAAGGAAAGGGGAACCAGTTCCTGAAGGTGTCAGAACAGTAGCCAGTGAGGTTTGCCAAAGCACTGGTCCTGGCGGTTGAAGAGGCTGATAAGTCCCTGTCACCACATTCAGCAAGAACATTTTCCTTCATCTTACCCACCTCTAGGCCATTGGTTCTCAGCTCTGGTTGAACGACAGTACTTTTTTTTTTTTTTTTTTTTTTTTTTTAAATCTTATTGCCCAGGTAGCACCTGAGATCAATGGAATGCAAATCTTGGGGGGAAGACATTGGTATCTTTGAAAGCTCCTCAGGAGATTTCTGGGTGCAGCCAGGCTTGGGGGCCTCAGTCCGAGTGTGTGGTTGTTTCCTGTAAATGCCTCTTTGTTTACAGCTTGAATACCCAGTCCAGGGGTGCCTGGGTGGCTCAGTCGGTTGAGCATCTGACTTCGGCTCAGGTCATAATCTCACGGTTTGTGAGTTCGAGCCCCGCACGGGGCTTGCCGCTGCACGCACGGAGCCCACTTCGGATCCTCTATCCCCCTCGCTCTCTGCCCCTTCCCCACTTGTGCTGTCTTTCAAAAATAAATAAAACATCAAACAACAACAACAACAAAAAACCCACACACACAAAAAGAAATCCAGTCCAGGCTAAAAGCTGGGCAGGTCTTCCTGATATTGTAGTGTTTAAAATGGAGCAAACTCAGGGGGCCTAGAACGAAGGAGAGTAGGGCAAAGGGGCATCGCCAGCATGAAATACTTGAGGGGGCGCCTGGGTGGCGCAGTCGGTTAAGCGTCCGACTTCAGCCAGGTCACGATCTCGCAGTCCGTGAGTTCGAGCCCCGCGTCAGGCTCTGGGCTGATGGCTCAGAGCCTGGAGCCTGTTTCTGATTCTGTGTCTCCCTCTCTCTCTGCCCCTCCCCCGTTCATGCTCTGTCTCTCTCTGTCCCAAAAATAAATAAACGTTAAAAAAAAAAAAATACTTGAGAATTAAATTGCCTCCCCCTCCTGCCTGTCAAACATCTATTTGTTTCTGGCACAGGCCCCCTATTCTTATTCCTAAGGGTCAGTAAAACCCATCTATACCTGCCTTCTTGCTTCTTTGGCTGCCTCCCTATCTTTGTACAGACCCAGACTGTTATGCATGTGTCTTAGTCAGCTTGAGCTGCTATAACAAAATACCATAGAGGAGGTGGCTTGAACAGTGGACATTTATTTCTGACAGCTCTGGAGTCTGAGGCCAGGGTGCCAGCATGTTTGGATTCTGGTGAGAGCCCTCTTCCTGGTTTGCAGATGGTTACCTTCTTACTATATCCTCACATGGCAGAGAGAGGAAGCACTGGGGTCTCTTCCTCTTCTGATCAGGTCACACTACTCCCATCATGGGGGTTCCAGCCTCATAACTTCATCTAATCCTAATTATCCTTCCAAGGTCCCACCTCTAATACCATTGTACTGGGGATTAGGGCTTCAACATATGAATTTAGGGGGGACATAAACATTTAGTCCATAGCAACATGATTATTTTGTTCTACCAGAAAGTTTTCTCATCCTTACACAGGAGTTATTAATACCCAGTTCATTTCCTGACTTTGAGGGCTTAGAGATATACTACTTGGGAAATTTCTAAAGTAATTCTTGGTGCAAAGCCAGAAGCAACATATCATAGCCATTATTGTTACTGTTGTTCAGATATGTTGTGATTTTGTTGTTCTGTTCCAAATTTTTGTAATTTCCATTGTGATTTCATTCCTTACTAATTCTTTTACCTGCGACCTATGGGCCATTATTTCTTTTAATTATTGAGTGCCTGAAAAAAAAAAATCTATATTTTAGCTGGGTATAGAATCCTATGTTGATTGGCAATTTTCAGCACTTTGCAAGAGTTCCATGTTTTTTGGCAACTGTTGCTGATGATGTTGCTACCATCAGATTTTC